TGTGTGAGCCACGAGGCAGAGCTGTGCAGGAGAGGCTGGGGCTGCACTGCTGCACTGCACTGCTGCTGGCACAGCGGCCACGCTGCCCTCTGTGCCACGGCACTCAACCTGCACTGCTGCTGGCACTGCACTGCTCACCCTGCACTGCTGCTGCTGACCCTGCATTGCTGCTCACTGGGCTGCAGCTCCTCTGCTGGGCTCAGGGGTCGCCTTTGCTGTGTTTCAAAGGCAGGAGCCTTTGAAAAGCAGGGCCCATGCAAGCAAACTGTAATTATCACTCCTCCGTTAGGCCCACGCGCTGTCTCCCTCCCATGGCAGCTCTCACAGCAGGTGGCAACCAGAACAACCAGAACAAGCAACAGCCCCCAAACACACCAGCTACCACAGCAGCATTCCCAAACCCTGCACTGCAATCCACTTACAGGCTGGTTTGGTTTTTGCAGCCCTGAGTGCTTCTTCAAACTACTGCTTAAATGACAGCAGTGCAACAGGCGTGGATTCTCTGACAATTACAAACACACTCACAGATTTACAATTCCATTCACCCTTTCCAAATTCTCATGTACAAGTAATGAGTGAGATACTTTAAAAAAAAATCACCATCCCTCTTGGCAATGGTTAAGAAACAGCCTCCAATTACTCAACAAGATCCAAATGCTGGACATTTTTAATCACTATTACAGGACATGTTTTGTGGCCAGTTCTGCAAATAAAGATGCCCTGATGGTTCCCTGGATGAGCCTCCCTGCAGACAGGTCCTGCTGTAGCTGGAGTAACAGTGGGGAATTAAACACTGGGTTTTTTTAAGGTCTTATTTCTCATCACTTTCTGAAATCTGCAGATGACACCACGTTGCATGACCAGAGCCTATGGATGCTGGAGGCCTTCATTACTGACACTGAGATTCAGGCTAATTAGACAAGATAGAATCAGTGGATCAGGTCAGGTAAACAACATGAAGCAGCACAGCTTGGCATCTGCATGCTGCTCACGTGAGGGAGGCACGGCAGCTACTCATGGACCCCACTCTTACCAGACAAGTTTTACAGAAGATGGGTGTATTCACCTCATAGCTGGCACAGAGTAAAAAATAACAGTTACAGCCATCCTCATCAAGGTGGGGAACTTAACAGGATTCAGCAGCACGGCTGGGTTTATGCATTTTGATCAATAATCCAGTCACAACAGTGCCTGAATGTAAATGAGTTCTGGTCTTTAACCACAAGCATTGTCAGACCTGTGGTTTGTGTCTGCAGTCCAGCACCTCCCTGCACCAGGATCTGGCCTGGCTGCAGGGCCCTCTGCACCCATCAACACCACAGCAGCCCCCAGTGCCTCTGCCACAGCCCAGCAGCATGTGCAGGGGTTGGGATCACAGCAGGGCCTTGCTTCCACACCTTCCAAAGACTTTTGCTCTTTGTGTTTTGCATGCCCTGGGAAGCTCAGCTGCATCTCAGACTCTGAAAGCACCTTGTTATCTACTCAGCATTTCAATTGTACTGGGGAACCCGGCCAACAAGCAGGACCTGCAGCATGACCAAAGACTGATGGGTTGGGCTGGGCTGTGTGCCAGCTGTCCCAGTGTCACCTGGTGAGCAAATCACCTGGATGTCATCTGACACTAAATGTACAATAACCCCTGAAACGGGAGGGTGCTCAGGTGCCACAGTGACAGGCACAGTTTGAGATCACAGAGTAGCAGTCTTGTTTAAGGGCTTCAGCTGGCTTCCAAAGAAGATGATTCCATTTCCTAGGGAGAAGGAATCCTTCTGAGAGAAGCGAAGCCAGCCCGGCTGCACGGGCTGTGAGCCGTGTCTGACACGTGCCAGGCTGGGTGTGCTCCCCACTGCCCTCCCTGGCACGGGCAGGGCACAGGGGCTCCGGGGGACAGGCCTGTCCTCTGCTGGGGACATGCCCAGGAGCACGCCAGGGCACAGGGCTCTGCTCTCGCACAGCAAACAGCATTTTATTCTCACTGTGGCTTTTTCCACACCGCTCCGTGCATCTTACAAACTTCCCAGAGGCCTCCAGCATTTCCACTCGGGTTGTGCAGGCAGCAAAGGAAGAACAAGAGCCGAGGTGTAAAACCCACTTGGCTGCAGATGTGTGCTGGGGTCTGGAGCCCACAGTGCTGCTGGACCCACCGGGACACCCTGCCCAGCCAAGAGCACAACAGCCCACACTGCCTCGGGCTGAATCACCAGCTAAAGGGATTATTAACTTCCAGCTGCGTTGGGCCCCATTTCCTTTGTGCAACAGCGTGCTTAATTGCAAATTCTAATTTACTGTTGCAGAGCACAAGCCCAGGTCCAAGGATAAATTAAAATGACAGCTCTATGGGAAGTTCAGAATTTAACTTTCTAACTTATCTGATTTGATGCAGATACAAATATTTAAATCCAGCCAAGGAAACAAACAGCCTGTTTCTAAGAAGTTCCAGCTGGGAAGGGGGGAAGGAAGGAGTTTGTAGGAAGAGAGGCTGCAACAATCAGTGTAGTGTCACAGTGCCTGCAGGAGCAGAACAGCCGCCGTGCAGAGCTTTGGCTGGTGCTGCGCTCCTCCCCTGCGAGGCTCATTTGGGTTTGAGTTTCTTGAGCTTTTTATTTCCCTTTAGTGAAAAACTACTTTGCTATCCTGAGAGTTAAAATCTCTTTTGTACAATTGCCCTGTTCTCTTTTCAAGGGAAACACTGAGCCTGTGAGTGAAACACACGGAGCCGGCACATGATCGGTGGCCATCCTCACGTGGTACATGTTAGTTTTGTTGAAACAGATCAAACCTAAATTTCAACTGCAGTAAAAAAAATTTAAAATCTGAATTTGAAATTTGAAATCTGAAATTTCAAATCAGATTTCTAGCAATGTGGATTTTTTAGCACAACTGAATCCTGTGACTGAATCACAGACCCACGGCTTTGGTGCTGCCAAGGAACACAGTGCTCGGGATACTCCCTGAGCAGCTGCCAGAGAGGATGAGGAGGAGAAGGTGACGCGGTGAGGAGGTCACACAGCGTCACTGCCCGCGGGCAGCGAGCCAGCCCCGCGCCGGGTCAGTGCCAGCCCTGCCAGCCCTGCCAGCCCTGCCGGCCCTGCGCGCGCCATGCACACTGACTGCACACTGACGGACAGGCTGCACACTGACTGACAGACAGCCACGGACAGGCTGCACACTGAGTGACGGACAGACAGACTGCACAGGCCCTGCGCGCGCCATGTGCTCCCCACGCACGGGGAGGCGGCCGCTGGCACGGCCCCAGGTCACCGTGACCTTCCCTGCCAGCCAGGCGGGCACCGGCTGCAGGAGCAGCCACGGACAGGCTGCACACTGAGTGACGGACAGACAGACTGCACACTGACAGACTGCACACTGACCGATGGACAGCCACGGACAGACTGCACACTGACGGACAGACTGCACGCTGACTGATGGACAGACAGCCACGGACAGGCTGCACACTGACTGACAGACTGCACACTGACTGACGGACAGCCACGGACAGGCTGCACACTGAGTGACGGACAGACAGACTGCACACTGACTGATGGACAGACAGACTGCACACTCGACGGACACTGACCGACAGACAGACAGACTGCACACTGACAGACTGCACACTGAGTGACGGACAGACAGACTGCACACTGAGTGACGGACAGACAGACTGCACACTGAGTGACGGACAGACAGACTGCACACTGAGTGACGGACAGACAGACTGCACACTGAGTGACGGACAGACAGACTGCACACTGAGTGACGGACAGACAGACTGCACACTGAGTGACGGACAGACAGACTGCACACTGAGTGACGGACAGACAGACTGCACACTGAGTGACGGACAGACAGACTGCACACTGAGTGACGGACAGACAGACTGCACACTGAGTGACGGACAGACAGCCACAGACAGCCGGCCAGTCCCAGCCCAGCAGCGCGCACCCCAGCCCGGCCAGCAGGGAGGCTCCTCCTGCAACCTGCACCACCAGCCTGCCAACGCAGAGAGGCTCAGATCCTCTCCAACGCCCCTCAGGCCCCAGTACAACCACAGCCCCAAACCTCTGCCCCGAGCAACAGAGAGCGGCCGGTACAGCCAGAGCTCGCCCCAGCCAAAGCCTCTCTGGGGAAGCTGCTGGTGAAAACTAAGAGGAGGGCTGAACTGATCTAATTCTCAGGCATTACTGACTCTCCAAAGCAAAGCTGAAGTGAATAATCAATTCTAAACACCAGAGGGAAATGGTGTTTGAGAGTGACTGAGGAAAAATGGAAACAAAGTGAGAAAAGATTACGTTTTACTGTGGAAAAAACCATTGTGATCAATCCTCAGCACCTTTTATTCTAGTCAAAATGTACAAGGTGTACTGGCTCTCTATTTGCACTATAAATGCAGCAACTCTTCCAGCTTCCAGCTGCATTTTACTTGCATTACATGCTACTGATTTCATATTCACAGGGGACATCTACAACAATTTCTTTTGTGCTACTATTTACCACTTTCACAAACATTAAACAAGCAAACACTAACACTTATTTCCCTCCAGCTAGAAACACAACTGATTTTTACCTGTGCTTTCTCCCAGCTTCACTCCTGGTGGTGCCCCATCCACCTACAGCTTCATACTGCAACCTCAGATTCTAGGCTTTCCTTGCCTCCAAGCAAGACTTGTACTCACATCACCACCTCACATCACTCCATGTACATCACTCCATCTCACCAAAATTTTGAGACATACCAAATCTTTACAGAAATCTGTCTTTTGGTTAACCCAACAGAAAACCTCCCCAAACCATACATGTTAAAATTCACGTGAACCCAAAAGGAAACAACTGAAGTTCAGCCAGCCTGGATCTCTAAGCTCATGTGAATTATCTGCTCCCTGCCACCACCACTTCTGGCAGGGATGATTTGTGGCTAAGCTGGAACTCGGGAAGGGGAGTTTCTCTGCAGCCCAAAGCCAGCTCGGGCTCTGCCCAGCCCAGCCCCAGAGCTCTGCACGTACCTGGATGTATCGCAAGGCACTCCTGAGGACGCTGAGGTTTGAGGTCTTCTTGTCATCCACGTTGGGGATGTTGCGCTTTAATGTCTCAAAGCACTCTTTCAAATGTGCACGTCTAAAGAAAACACAGGTGGGTCGTCAGCTGCCAGGGGCCACACCAGGAACCAGTTCCAGCAGAGGGGAGAGCTTAACTGGGGCCTTAATCCAGCAAAGCACCGACACCTGTGCATAGCAGCCCCAGCCCACCCCAGCAGGGGCTGTGCCTGGGCTCTATCCCAGCTTTGTCAGGAGCACCGCGCAGCCTTAAATAAAACATCTCACTGTGCTGGTGCTTTCACTGCCACCACACTTCCAGTTTAGCTAGTCAGGCTTATAGAGTCTTGGGTCAGACACTGATGTTTATTCTGTATTCACATTGTACACTGACCCTTCATTTGGGGTATTTTACTCTTTTTAAAATCAAAAGAGTCACACTGTTATGCACTGTTACTGCTTTGCAGGATCAGGGTGGTTGGGATGCAATGATGCAGTTAAACAGATCATATTGGGAAGCAAGAAATGCAGAACTGAGCTATAAGAAAGCCAAGCAATACTGCAAGATTCAGTAAAAGTCACGAAGAATTTTATTCAGGTTATTTGTTTAAAAAACAAGCAAGCAAACAAACAAAAACCCGCCAAAGCCAAATAAATATTGACAGATGATAGGCCAAAAAAAGGAGGGGAATTACAATTAAAAAACCCAAACCCCTGGCTTTCTACGCACCTGTTCTTCTCCAATTTATTATGTACTTCCCTGGTCCCAACCCTGTAACCCAAACAGAACAAAGATCAGCTCAGTGTCAGGTTGAAAACTCCTGCCTTGCACCTGTGCTTGCAGCAGTGTCTGTATGTCAAGATGCAAAAGCAGCAGAAGTGTGCATAAATCACTGGTTTAACATTAAGTTTATACATATTTCTGCCTATACTGTTTCAAGATAAACTCCATACTCTACATGTGCATCAGAGGATTGTACACACAGTGCACAGAAGATACAAACAGGGGTGATGTGTGTGTATATGCAGACACGGCTACTACCAACAACAGGGAAAGACACAAACTATGAATTTTAAGTATTTGCACAGACCCAGAGAGCCCAAATTCTGACCTGGTTCTGATCTATGCCTGCACTCCAGCAGGAGGTTTGTGCAGCTCCAAATTCGAGTGTAAGGGTTTGGGCAGACACTTCCAACTGCTTTGGGTTTTCACTGTGCGTGAAACAACACAGCTGAGGACAAACATGGAATGAAGCAATACAGGAATTCTCCAGTCACTGCTCAAGGAAAAACCAGCGTGAGTTTCTGGTTTTGGGGTTTGAGTCCACCCACTCTCTGAATCAGAGGAATATTTTTAGGAAAAGCCAAACAAATACATGCTATCTCAGTTTTTCAGCTCAGTTTTTCAGTGATAAGGTACATTAGCAGATGTGGAGATTTCAAGTACCTTTCATACACTGTGCAAAGTAATTATCTGCCTTTGACTGAAAATACAGGACATTGAGGTAATACTATTCAATAAATTGTCACAAATATTTGACAGCATTTTCCCATGAAACATTTACAGGCTGAAAAAGACATTTTTTTTGTGCTTATGGAGCAATTCTTGGGGGAGGCAGCGGTGATGCTGTGCTCCACACTGGCAGCACAGCCCCCCCACTCACAGGGCAAAGCTCAGTCTGACAGCACAGCAGCAGCTTGAGGGTGCACCTGCAGCCACCCCACTGCCCACAGCCCAGGCAGCCAAACGTGTGCAGCCTGCCCTGGTACCCCCATGGCAGCAGAAACCTCCTCCACAGCTCCCTGAACCCACACCACGGCAGTGATGGGCTCTCTTCATTCGTGCCCAGACTGACAGACCCTTCCAGCAGCAGACAGGCTCTGAAGAGCTCAATCTGCTTAGAGGAATTACACTGGCATTTTACTGAAGCCTTTACCTTCACAAACTCCTGTTTGCATTACTTTCACTGTTTCTATGCATTCTGGGACCTGTACATCCAATGAACCTTTTTTCTGTCCACTGCACATCTCCACCAGTCCCCACAGCATTCACACACCACCTCCAACAGCCCTGCCAAGAGACATGCCCCTGCTGCAGGCAGCCAGGAGAACAGTCAGAGGCCCAGCCAGCACAGCCAGCAGGGAACCCCGAACAGATCCAGGTCACTTACGCTGCAGGAAAATTGAGGGGCCAAAGGAAACAGGTAAAACTGCTGCAAAGAAGGGAATGGTTTGTTCTCCCAGTCCACAAGCAGTAATACCAGACTCCCTACAGGGATACTGTGGTCTGGAAACAACCACCTACAGAGATGGCAGGGTCTCCACCAGTCAAAGTCCTTAAGAATAAGCCAGAAAAACACTAACCTGGAGCAACATCAGAGCCACAAGTCCTCTCAGAGGGTGAGGGCAGACTAAATAGCCTTCAGCCCCTTCCAGCTGCAAGATTCTGAGCAAGCAAGAGGCCCTCAGCACTTACAGCACTGAGAAACTGGTGATCTCTGTCCTCAGAAAACATCTCCCAGATCCCATTCCAGTTTTCAAGAAAGCTCCCACAAGCAGCAGCACACTTTGATTTCCCTGACCAGTACAAGCAGTGATCTTTTGCCAAACATAACACGAGATACCACTTGAGATCAGACGTGCAGGGCTGGGACTTGCTTCCTAACACAGTTCTGGCTTGCAAAAAAAAAATCCTTACGCAAAATCTTACAGCTTGGAGTGAGGGAGGAAAATAAAAACCTGTCAAGCTAAAAACCCTGCCCTCAGCAATTCAAAGACATTCCACACCCACAGGTCTTGGCATTTCTGACCCAACAACAACCTTGCACAAGCAGGAGCCGCTCCAGAGACGCGGCTTTGCTCGTCCCTGCTGGACACGCACCCAACGCGTGCACTCACCCTCCAATTCTCTTCTTGAGCTCGATGGGTTTCATCTCGTCCGCCGGTGCCAGCTTCAGGGCGCCGAGCGGCGCGGGCGCCGCCGGGGGCTGCAGGGGCTGGATGGGCTGCGGCACCACATGGTGCTGGGAGATGGCCAGCACCGGCGCCGCGTACTGCGGCAGCGGCTTGGGGCTGCCCGACGGCGGCGTGGCCGCTTTTCCATCCGGCAGCTGCGGCCGCTGGATCACCGGGGCCACCGAGGGCGCTTCCTTGGGGACGCTGGGAGTGCTCACGAGGGGCTGGTGGCGCTGCACCAGCGGCGGCGACAGCGCGGCCTGGGCTGCCTGCTGCGGGGAGCTGGTGACCACGGGGATGGGGATGACCGAGATGGGCGCTGCCAGGGGCGCGGGCGGCAGGGGCACCGGGCCCGGCGGGGAGATGGGCACCAGCAGCTCGCTCCGCGGCTCCTCTGGGGACAGGGTGCTGTTGGCCCGTGGCACGCTGGCCTTGCCCGCCTTCTTCTGCTCCTGCTCCCTCTCCAGGCACAGCTTCTCATGCTTCTCATTCTCCTCTGGAAGAGAAACATCCACAGTGAGCAATGGCGCTTCCCTGAGCAGCCTACAACCAGCAGGGGCAGGATCCCTAAGTTAAAATACCCTGGGTTTTATACCATCCTGAGTGAATCCCAGCTCAATGGACACTGCACTGATACAAACACATCAGGGCACCTCTTTACTGCTGCGGATTTTAATCAAGCTCTTAAACTCGGCTCTGATGTGTGTATGTTCCTATACGTTTTCAGAACACCAGACAAAGTAAATGAAATCTGTGTGGCCTGACTAGCAAAATAAACCTCATCAAACGCAACCCAGGGCTCTGGCTTTAATTGCGTGAACATGGCACAAACAAAATTTATTTATACAAGTCCTGTGGCGCCAGTGGCCCTGGCATCTAGACATTGCACAGCCTTAATCAAATATCTCCAAACCCACCATCCGTGAGGCTCAGCAGATCCAGCTCCTGACAACCTCTGAGGAGCTGCAATGAAAGGTGCTGCAGCAACGTCTTCGCAGTAATATACAAATATTTGGAAAACAAAACCTTATTTATCAAGGAAGGGATTAGAAGAAGGACATGGACAGTCGGGTGTTCTGTCTTATACAGTCGCCAAAATCAGGTAATTCAGAGGAAGCTCTAAGAAACATCCCAACAGAGCCCCTCCCAGGAGAAGCTTCGGCTCGACTGAAACACGGAAGTCAGAGCATGTATTTAGGAAATTAGAGAGAAGAGCACGTATGCTGCCACCTGGAATTACCAGGTTATGTTCAATCCCCCAGTGATCTTCAAGACAATCTGTACTGAACACAACAAGTGGAGCAAGGGGAAAGGGCCAGGGCACAGAGCTGCCCAGACCTAGCCACCGCTGAGGGGCCCTGCCACTATTGGGATACTTTCTAACCCATCTTTTGATTTTGAGGGGTGTAGTGCAAAAGCAAAAGCTACAGAGAGCAAAAAAGGCACCAAACTCTCACTCCTGATTCTGAATGCCCTTTGGTACGTGTGACTGCACAGCTACACCGACCCAGATCCAGCCGACACAATTTCCTGAAGCTCGGCTGCAGCAGCAGCCCAAACACAGCCCAGCCTCCCTTGGAGAGCACGAGCCAGGTCAAGCAGCCAGCTGCCAAGGCAAACACTGCCTGAACCCACACCTGGAGAAACACCCTCTGGACCAGGCTCCAGCACGGGGGCTGCAGCCCCAGTCTCTGACCCTGCAGCACTCACAACAACACCACATGAAGTTCTGTCATCAGGAAGGGTTTTCATCCATACAGTGCTCTTCCCAGTGCTGCCTGAGACTCAAATCCAAAGTTTTCATTCAACTTCTGCAGCACAAGTAGGGTGAGTGAGCAAAAGATCTGACTGACTCCAAAATAGGAGGGAGGTTGCTTAAGCAGCAGCTGAGCCTTAAAGCTGCATTTCTCTGTATTTTCTCAAAATATTTCAGGCTATTATCAACAGTTCCTTAAAGGAAGAAGCGAAGCAGCACAAGGTGGCTAAAAACCCAACAGGAATCCCCTGATGCAAACACAAATCTTAGCTACCAACAATTTCGGAGCGGTTCAGTTCAACGACATTAATAAAGAAAAGCCCTTTGTCTGCAGATCTTTTGCTCCACTTTGCTGCTGGTTGGCAGCCAGAGCCAATGCAATGGCCCTGGCACAGGGTGCGTGAGGAAACCCAGCCCGAGGACCTGCTGACTCACAGTGCTCCCTGAGCACGTCGGGCCCCGGGGACAGAGCGCTGAGCACGCCGCCTTGCCAGGCACACAGCAGGGCACAGCCCTACAGCTGCACCCAGGCTGTGAGCAGGGGGCACCACAGCAGCCTGTAATGGTCAGCCGTGGCAGTGCCGGGGTCTGCTGAGGACAGCAGGACCTGCCCGGGCTGCTGGAGGTGACACGGCCACAGCGGAGCAAGCACCCAGCCAGGACACCCGGCAGGACACCCAGATCTGCACCCAGCCAGGACACCAGGCAGGACACCCAGATCTGCACCCAGATCTGCAGCGAGGGCAGCACCAGTGCAGGAGCCAACCTGGAATTCCTACAACCAGCTACACCCATGGGGAAGGGAGAGAACAGGGAAGCAAGGTTAAAGCAGGCATTACTGATCACAAGTATTTATGTAAATGTCTCTGGAAGCAGGTGCAGCCCTCGGGCTGCTGACAACCTGCCAGTAAGGCCTTTGGTGTTGCTCCCTTGAGCTAAAGAGTTTACTTCAAGGATTTTTTTCTTCACACTCTTAACAAGGGGACTGAGGACAGAACAAACCATGGGAAGTAACCAGTCCTGAGAACCCCCAGGGGATCTGAACCACAGCCCAAGCACGAGGGGTCCTGGAATCCCACCCTGCCCACACCACTCTGCTTGCCAGCATGTTCACACGGCCAGAGCAGGCACCACACCACCCAGGCAGTGACAGCAACATCGGCAGCCACGGCACAGAACAGCAAATCCTGTCCTGGTAGGACGCAGAAACAGCGTCAGCACCCCTGACCACTGGCCTGGTGCTATTTAGGGCCTCGACGGTCTGAGTACACAGCACCAGGCACTCTTTGTTACCTAATAATCTGCTGCGTTTAAATATATCCCGTCCCTTTTGCCTGCCCTGGAAATGCCACCCATCTGTCAGAGCAGTGCTGGCAGTGCCAGCCAGCAGCAGCGGGCACAGCCGCACGTGCCCTCGGGCCGGCAGCGTGGGCCTGCAGCAGGCAGGGCAGGCCCAGCCTGCACGTGCCCTCGGGCCTGCAGCAGGCAGGGCAGGCCCAGCCTCCCGAACCACGCTGAGCAGCAGGCTCTGAGGGATGGCAGAGCCCTCTGCATGCTCCCACCCATCACCAGGGACACTGCCAGCACCAAGAGTTTATCAGGGGCGTGTGCCTTTGCACAGCCAAGCATCCCACTCTGTGTGTGCTCAGTGGAGAGCATCTCTCACTCCAGGAACAGTGAGGCAGTTCTGTGGTGTTGTTTTCTGAATGGTCTGAAGAGTTTTTCTGAATCATGCAACGCTTCTGGGCACTTATCCTGCATACCTTGAACTGCTACAGCCCTGGAGAGGAGTGCCTTGGGTGTCTCACTCTGGTATGCAGCAGTGTCACCCGCAGGAGTCACTCCAGGCTCCTACCAGGGAAGTGCTGGGTACAGAAGAGTCTCCAGGTATTTACTACTCCAAAGGCTGCCCTGGGGGGGACAAGTCATGCCAAGAGGCAGGGCAGCTGGAGCCTGGATTATGTTTCTGCAGGTCCCTGGCTCTGCAGGGGAGAACCAGGAAGGGGGAGATAAAAACAGTCAGCAGAACTGGAGCCCAGCAAAGCTCAGCATCAGCCAAGCAAGCTCTGAGTCACAGCAAATGCTGCTGACACCAGAGGCTGCAGCACAAGCCACGGCCACTTCCAGGCCCAGGAACAAGCCTGCAAGGCTGAGAACCCTATGAAATCAGGACACTTTTCTGACACCTTTTGAATTTTGGTTGACAACAGCACAAGCCCCACTTTTCTTTCCCACTTAGTGAAAACTTTGCAGTTTGGTGCCCAGCCTTTGGCACCGTTGTTTCTCCACCAGTACCACGGCAGACCCAAGACATGGCACTGCTTCCCAAAGCCCTCTGGGCTGCTGGCCATGCCCTCAGTACAGAGCTGATGGAGTCTCATCTCTACAGAAACTCCAGGACCATCATGTCACCGGGGTGCCACTGTCACAGCTGCAGCATCGCACCTTGGCGGGCTGGAGGGATGCACAACTCCTGCTGTTCCTTTCCATGGCATTTGGGATAAAGTGCAGGAAAGCACTGGCTCTGACAGGCCACATGGGCACCAACAGCCCATGCTGACTCTGCTCCACCATCCAAGGAGCCACACCTGGGCAACCAAGCAGGTGAGCTGGCCTACACAAGATGGGCCTGTGCTTTTCACAGGGCATCCGCGTTTTTAAGAGACAGGGAGACAAAGTAATGCACTCTGATAAAAAGCATGTATTTCTGTCAGCTGAACAGCTTCTGTGTTACAGTTCGGAGGAAGAAGTGGCGCTGCTGACAGGCAGGACCCAACCCACCTGCTCCCATGCACATGAGGACACCATTGTCCCTGCTTCTGGCCCAGGGACAGAGGCACACACTGCAGGAACAGTGAACCATGACATGCCTTACATGTACAGGTTGGAAACTAACAGTAAACGTGAACTGACTTAATAAACAGTATCATAAACAGACTATGTATCCTTAAAACAGACCAAAAAGCCGACAAATCTGCCCTCAGAAGAAACTGGGAGAGCCCACTTCATCCACTGCTGGCAAGTGCTCTGCCTTGAGTGTACAGCTCGTGTGTTACACAGCCAGCACAGTGTGTGTGTGTTACACAGCCAGCAAGGGAGCACAGACAGGTGAAATGAGTTCAGTGAGTCACAGCAAAACTGGATCTGGCAGATAACAGCCAGCCTGTTAGGTAAGCATGTTTGCTCCAGGTAACATTCCTCGATCCTGTGGTGAGAACAAGGCCCACTGCTGCACCTTCATCCCAGGGCTGCACCAGGGGCTGCTTCCACAGGCTGCTCACTCCAGCCAGCTTTGTTCTCAAGGAAATTAATGGAAATGTGCAGATTACCCTTTAGAACTCTATCTCCATACTTGAAAAAGAAAGAAGAATCAAGGGTATCTGCCCATCAAAACAAGGAGTCACCACCATCACCTGAAGTGGCTGCACCAAGCAGTTATCCCTGGAATTCCATGACAATTATCCTTGCCACCCCCAAAATTCAGACAAATTGCTGTGTCACAGAGCAAGGCTCTTCCTGAAGTCAAAGTCTAATTGTCACTATGGCACTGTTGTCCTCAGAACTGCAGTGCAGCTCTCCTGGAAGCCTCTGGAAACAGATAAACTCACAATATGTTGGGAGGTGCTTTAACCTCCCCTGAAGGAAACCCAGGTGAGTGTCCTGCCTGCAGCAGCCAGCGAGGCCAAGGCTGAGGCCACACAGCACCCTGGTGGGACAAGCCAGTGGCGGCCAAAAAGCCCCACAAGGTTTCTGGAGATGCATCCCAACATCACACTGATGAGATCTGCTGAAAGACAACAGAGACCATGCAGAGCCACTGCCCAACCACGGACGCTGGGTCTGAGCAGGTTCTCCTCCTCACCACTGGCACAAGGAAGGTGGCACCACAGCCACAGGAAACCTTCCTGCCCACCACACACCACTATCACTCCCAGGCAATTGAGCGTGCCCAAATGGCAGGCAGGTGGGATGGAAAAGCCCAGAGCTGTGCTTGCAGCAGGGTCACTGCCTGCACTGGCACCACTCAGGAAAGGAATGGTGTGAGTGAACTGCAGCATCGAGGGAGCAGCAAACACAAGCTGGACACTCACAGATGAGTATCTATGGGAAAAACCCTAAGAAAACAAGTATCAGTTACTTGCAATTATAAAGAAATTTGTTTTTCTTAGATCATGGAACATTCCTGGATTAATCTTCATTGAAAGAAATCAGCACCCTCTAATTCAAGTCAAATGTCTCTGGAGCTTGCACACCACAGAGAGAGAAAGGACCCCGGGCTGTGAGTCTGTGCCATGTAAAGAGTGTTACATGCCTGGGAGGCACATGCTTACAGCAAGAGGGTTACAGCAGCAGGCACTGCTGTCAGCTACAGACCCAGCAGCCCTTAGATGAGTTCAGTATATATTTTTTTAATATATGCTGTTCCCAAAATGGATTGATTTTCAGGCCATGCTGGACCCCTGGAGTTCCACAGTGTAACTGGGGGTACAACACAGACCATAACACTTTGCAGAACACAAGACTTCAAGGGGGAGGAGAGGAAGAACACAAGGCAAAGAAGCCAACCCAGTCTTAGTGTTCTTACTTATTACTTCCCAGTGCTTCCCAGCTGTTCCTCTGCTTGTGCACTCCCCTGACACCTCCCTGCCACCCAAAGGTCACTGCAGGGCCCCTCCCTCCCGTGCCAGAGTCTTCCTGGTGTTCAGACTTCCCTGAAGTGGCCACGTTTGCAGTGACACCAGCCCAGCCCTCCCGTGTCTGTGCCCCCAGCTGCACCCAGAGCCCGGGGCATGCTTATGGTGGCAGCTCCAGCCTGCATGGGGCTTCGTGTAACACCAGAACCCCACACATCCCTGTGAACTGCTCCTGGAGCTGAGAAACCTGCAGGGTGTCTTTTCTTCGCTGTCTTACCCTGCCCATACACCCTGCTCAGCAGTAATTCCTGCCTCAGAAGCTGTCCAGCACTGACAAGCCAGGTCCCTCCTGCTGCTCAGCAACCCAGAGCACAGCTCGTGGGACCCACTCATGAGATGCTCACACAGCGCGGGGCAGCGGGAGGGCCCCGGGAGCTGGGGAGGGCCCCGGGAGCTGTCTCCCAGCAGCCAGACACAAACCCAAAGCCCGCAGAGGGTGAGCCCCGGGTGTTTTATGGGATGGCCCCGGGAGCTGGGGAGGGCACTGGGAGCTGGGGATGGCCCCGGGAGATGGGGAGGGCCCCGGGAGCTGTCTCCCAGCAGCCAGACACAAACCCAAAGCCCGCAGAGGGTGAGCCCCGGGTGTTTTACTGCTGCACCCTGGGCACGGCCACCACCTGTAAGCCCGGAGCCGGTATCACCGCAGGGCTGGCGGCCAAGGAGGCCGCCAAGGGCTGGGAGGCAGCAGCGGAGCTGTCACCAGCCGGCGGGGAGCGCGGAGGGAGCGGGCAGCCCCTGGCATCGCCCCACGCCCGGTGTGCTCCGGGCTCGGGAATGCTGCCGGCCCCAGCACCGCATCCCCCGTCTGCTGCGTGACTCATCACCGACACAATGGGCGGCGGCACAAAGCGCCGCTCCCGCAGCTCCGCCCGACTCCCCGCGCCGGGGCCGCCGCGGGAGCGGGGCCGGCGCCGCCGTCCC